CCCCCCCCCCCCCGCCCCCCCAGCCTCTTTTACCAGTTGCCTGCGTCTCTGCTGCTAGAAATTCATAGTACTCCTGTGAGGAGAGCTTCAGTGTACAGTGGGCCTGAGGTTTAGAATTTTCCTTTATAAGGCAATATTCTAGCCCACTGCCTGCAGAGAGAGAGATTTTCCATCCCTTTGGTCCATTTGTAGTGCCCCATAAAAAAGATAATATTAATTTACCCAGGATTTGATGGGAATTTTATCCCAGCCATAGCTGTCTAGATGTGGTTGGGATATTTGCCCTAAAATAAAAATAGTTTTGTTTCAGTTGCTAGCAGGTTAAATGAATGTTTTAAAGATTTTATTCAAGTGAAATATGGTGGTGTGTGTATGCACAGTTTGAACTTCCAGTGAAATACATAGGCTAGGCTCTGTCTTTGTGTCATCTGTCTTCAACGGAGATGGAGGAGCAACAGAGAAGTCACTTGTGGTTCCTTGAACCCTGCCAGGACGTATTATAATTTAGAGCAGCAGTTCCCAATCTGTGCTACACGTACCACCGACAATGTGTCAGTGGTACGCATTAACAGATTTATTATAATTACTTTATGTGACAAAAATGTGGTGGTGGTACTGAAGGCTGTATTGTTTTAAATTGGTGGTGTGCAAGCTGTCAGTTTGGGAACCGCTGGTTTAGAGCATACTTAGGGCTAAGGTAGTCATAAATGGCTGCCCATCAGCTGGGGATGCTGGACTGCAGTGCAGTCTAGCCATACCTTTTATGCTATAAGGAAGAGGAAGGATAGGATAGAGTAGCTTTTTTATCACCTTTTGTTAGATGGAAACCTTTTTACCTCATTTTCTTCTTTCTGTCTACCCACCTCAGGGCCAATCTTGAGAGTCACTATGCAGTCATTTAAATTTTTTTCACATTTCTTTTTCAGTTTTACTGTAACCATTCATGTGTTTGCAAACAAAAACACCCAAGTCAGGCAATTCAAAGCTCAGTTTTGCACAAACCAGTCTGCCATTTCACTTGAAGGCATAAATTTAACCCTGTATATAGTACAGTAGTAAATACTGTACAAGCCGTGTGTTACGATTCTAACCACTGCTGTGACTAATAACTTTGAATTGCCTCTCTCTCTTTATGTATACTGGCAACAATAGCATACATTGCATGAGCCCTGATTTTTGCAGTGCTGAGGTAAATGCAAAGCTCACACATTCTTCTCATCAATTAGAAGTTATTTGCACAAAGAGGGAGGCATGCTTTGCTGCTTTGGCCATGTCTGAATGTGTATTTTCTATAGGGTGACAATCTGATTTTTGAACATATCTTAATGTCTTTTTGCTGGAAGTCCTTCTTACCTCCATTCCACCCATA